ATATTAACTTTGGATTCTAGAGCGTCCAGAAGATTTTTTGAAGTGATCAAGGGCCATAACTCTGGCGGTAATTATAGAAAATCACTGAAAATGAATAGACTTCTTCGACTCATGATCTTAAACACTGTTTATAAATTTAAAGTCAATCGGATATTAACTTTAGCCTCTAGAGCGTCCACAAGATTTTTTTAAGTGATCAAGCGCCATAACTCTGGCAGTAATTATCAAAAATCACTGAAAATGAATAGGCTTCTTCGTCTCATGACCTTAAACACTGTGTATAAAATTTAAAGTCAATCGGATATTAACTTTGGATTCTAGAGCGTCCACAAGATTTTTTGAAGTGATCAAGGGCCATAACTCTGGCGGTAATTATTGAAAATCACTGAAAATGAATAGACTTCTTCGTCCCAAGACCTTAAACACTGTTTATAAATTTAAAGTCAATCAGATATGAACTTTAGCCTCTAGAGCGTCCACAAGATTTTTTCAAGTGATCAAGCGCCATAACTCTGGCAGTAATTATCAGAAATCGCTGAAAATGAATAGGCTTCATCGTCTCATGACCTTAAACACTGTGTATAAATTTAAAGTCAATCGGATATTAACTTTGGATTCTAGAGCGTCCACAAGATTTTTTGAAGTGATCAAGGGTCATAAATCTGGCAGTAATTATCGGAAATTGCTGAAAATCAATAGGATTCTTCGTCTCATGACATTAAGCAATGTGTATAAATTTAAAGTCAATCGGATATTAACTTTGACCTCTAGAGCGTCCATAAGATTTTTTGAAGTGATCAAGGGCCATAACTCTGGCAGTAATTATTGGAAATCGCTGAAAATCAATAGGCTTCTTCCTCTCATGACCTTAAACACTGTGTATAAATTTAAAGTCAGTCGGATATTAACTTTAGGCTGTAGAGCGTCAACAAGCAATTGTGGACGCCGGACCGCCGACAATATACGACCGCAGACCGCATTTCAATATGAGCGTATAAAAAACGAGGAAGTGCCACCATCTTGAAACGTGAAAAATCCATAAGGCTTTTGCAATATTTTACTTACAGACATGGGAGTTACATTTTCTGAATCCTTGAAGGAATGCCTAAAAATCTATCAGATCAGAAATTTGAGTTCGGTCAACTAACGGTCACCATTTTGAACTGAATAGGAGAAAAAGTGAACTAAAGAGAGAGAGAGAAATGGGGTTTAACGTCCACTCAACACAAACTAGGTCATTTCGAGACTAACATATGGTTTAATTTTATTTCAATAATTCGCTTGCGCGTATGGGTCTTTAGCAGTGGGAGGAAACCGGAGGACCCGGAGAAAACCCCGAGGTTGGACAGGCGACCCTACTTTTTGTCACGTTCAATGACAGGCCGTATAATACAGCACGCACGTGCTAACCATCCGGCCATCCAACCCCCCAAGTGAACTAGAGCGTCCACAAGATTTTTTGAAGTGATCAAGGGCCATAACTCTGGCAGTAATTATCGGAAATCGTTGAAAATCAATAGGATTCTTTGTCTCATGACCTTAAACACTGTGTATAAATTTAAAGTCATTGGATATTAACTTTAGCCTCTAGAGCAACCACAAGCAATTGTGGGCGTCGGACGGACGGACGGACGGACGGACGGGGGCGACGACAATATACGACCACATTTCAATGTGGGCGTATAAAAATCCACGATAACTGACATGAAAATGAAAACAATTGGCCGTAGTTTGGAGAATACGTCTCCTATTTCCAAAATGAATACATTTCTCAATGTGGTATTTGGAAATGTCATAATTTTGAATTTTGCCTTTGACGTTTTTCGTGCTGACAAAGTTGTTTATGAGTGAAAAATCACATTAACTTCTAGAGTTTTTGACCGATTTTAATGATTATTTTTTCTTGTTCAGATTCTTTATATGACCCATGACATGTGACAGGAAGTGGCTGTGAATGTGAAAGCTTTCATATCTGCCTCGCAGATCTAGTTGAGATTTGTTTCTGTGCTTCACGATGAGATAATAACACTGGTAAGTCAGTTTTACAACATTGCTATATTTGTCTTTTATCACATGAATTAAAAATGAACTACTTTTTTGTATTTTCAAAGAACAGTTCATTTTTTTTATTAAAAAAATAACCTCTTTTTTATTCAAAATGAATTATTATCCCGCGCCGAACGAAGTTAGGGAGAGATATTGAAATGGGGTCCGTCCGTCCGATTTCGTTTCAGGAGCATATCTCATAAACCGTTCAAGATATCTTTCTGAAACTTTGCACACATATCAACCTATTACAGTAGTTGTGCCTTTTGCTATTTAGGAATTTCTGGGATTTATATTTGTTGTGTTTCCATGGAAACAAAAATGACTTAGTTTTTGGTGTACAATTTTGTTTCCAGAGCATATCTCATAAACCGTTCAAGATATCTTTCTGAAACTTTGCACACACATCAACCTATTACAGTAGTTGTGCCTTTTGCTATTTAGGAATTTCTGGAATTAATATTTTTTGTGTTTCCATGGAAACACATTTGACTTAGTTTTTAGTGTATAATTTTGTTTCCGGAGCATATCTCATAAACCATTCAAGATATCTTTTTGAAACTTTGTACAGACATCTACTCATTACATAAGTTGTGTCTTTTGCCATTTAGGAATTTCTGGAATTGATATTTTGTGTGTTTCCATGGAAACAAATTTGACTTAGTTTTTGGAGTACAATTTTGTTTCCGGAGCATATCTCATAAATCGTTCAAGATATGTTCTTCGCACTTATTTTGAATTTCTCAGATTTGATAATTTTTTGTGTTTCCATGGAAACACATTTGGCTGTTCAAGATACCTTTAAAATAATTTTACTCATTATTTTATTTTCTGAAATCCAGCCTTCTGTCCTGATTTTGTTTCTGGAGCATATTTTATAATGTGTTCAAGAAATCTTTTTGAAACTTTGTACAAACATTAACCTATTATAGTATTTTATTTTCTGATGTATAAGTTTATTGTTTAACATACAGCAGCTGATTGAGGTAGGCAAAGGTTGTTGTGCAAACCTTACAGGGAGTAGCGACCCTGCCTTGTCGAGCTACTGTGATCAGAGTATGAATTTCTGTGAATTGATATTCCATACGTTGGAATATGAGATTTGTCTAAAGCTCCAGTTCCCTCCACTTGCAAAATATCTCTATTTTCTATGTAGTCATGTCTAATTTTTGAAATCAGAGCTTAATGTCATAAATTATCTCAAATCTTCTAGTAAATAGCAATCAGTCATTAATTTTCAGAAATAGAGAGCAATATCTACTAAACAGGGCCACAATATTAGGACCAGTGACACTGTTTGTGAAATCTGATACATTTTTATATTGATTACCAATAGCATAAACAAGTTACTTTTCCTTATTTCTTCCAAACAAGTGCAAGGGCGCGGGATGTTGATGACTAGTCATCTTGTTTTTATTTCATTCACCTTGATGACAACACTGGGTCAATATAAAGGACTTTGCAATGGTTGAATTGCTATCAAAAAATGATGTATCACTACGCCGTTATGTATCGGTAATCAGGTTCAGTAAAAATGAAGTCTATAGCAAAGAATTCTATTTATTTTTTTGTGCATGTAAGAAAGGATTCGGTGATAAACAAATTCTCCTACTCGTCTTTTTTGATATCAAATAAGACTTGTAGGAGATTCTCTATTTAATTATAACCATAATGCTTTGCACGTAGTGTCTGGGTCAATCAGCAAACGAGTTGTGTAGACAGCACAGCAACAAGCGGAGTTCGTTTACATTTTTTAGGGGTTTTAAAACTCGATTGTATCTGTTCAAGATAGGTTGCCAGGCAACGAAACATACGCCCACAGCAGCTAAATCGTCCGAGCGGTCGACAAGGGTTGTCGCATATTTATTCCTTTGTAGGTAATTGGGGGCCTTTACAAGACAATTCCATACAGATCAGATTATAATTTTTGCCGTTTGAGGGTTCACAAGGTTCTACAAACTGAAACAAGGGTCTCAACTCTGGAAGTAATTTACAGAAATTGTTGAAATTTGACAGGCTTTTTCGTTTTACTAATTTAAATAATGCATATAAATGTCATACTGATCAGATGATCACTTTTGTCATTCAAATGTTCACAAGTTCACAACCGCCATAAATCTAGCAATTATTGACGGAAATTGCTGAAATTCAATAGACCTCTCTCTGTTTCACAAATTTAAATGATGCATATAAATTTCATACATATCAGATGATAACTTCCATCAATCGAGCATTAACAAGGTTGAACAAAATGAAACAAGGGTCATCACTCTAGAAGTAATAAACGGAAATTGCTGAAATTCAATAGGCTTCTTCGTTTCACTAATTTAAATGATGCATATCAATTTCATACAGATCGGTTGATAACGTTTGTCATTTGAGCGTTCACAAGGTTGAACAAAGTGAAACAAGGGCCATCACTCTAGAAGTAATCAACGGAAATTGCGGAAATTCAATAGGATTCTTTTCTTTACTAAATTAAATGATGCATGCAAATTTCATACAGATCAGCAGATAACTTTTGATGTTAGATAGAGCATTCACAAGGTTCAATAAAGTGAAACAAGGGCCATAACTCTAGACGTAATAAACGGAAATTGCTGGAATTCAATAGGCTACTTCGTTCCCTAATTTAAATATTGCATATACATTTCACAAAGATCAGATGTTAACTTTTGGCATTAGAGCTTTCACAAGGTTCAACTAAGTGAAACAAGGGCCATAATAGACGTAATAAACAGAAATTATTGAAATTAAATAGGCTTCTTCATCTCACTAATGCAAACAACATATATCAATTTTAAAACAACTAAATGATAACTTTTGGCGTTAGAGAGCATTCATAAGAAATTGTGGACGACGAACGGATGGACGGACGGACGGGCGGTGGACAGACTGATTGGGGCGATGGCAATATACGTCCACATTTCTATGTGGGCGTATAAAAAACTAACCTGTTCCAACATCCATGGAGGATTTGTATATTCTGGTAACAGATTAGCACTCTTTGAGGGTAATTCATTAACATCATAGAACCCATCTTCAACTCTGAATAAAACATACAAAACTAAAACAATGTTCAACAGACACAGTATTTTTTATTGGTGAAGATAAACAATTGAGGAGGCAATTATTGTCATTTGCTTAGTGAATATAATAGGCAAGTTTTTAATAAACATAATTAATTAGTTTGTTCATACAAGACAAAATCGGTTTATAAGATAAGATGTTTATTGCATCAAAACGTCCATTATGGACAGCATGCATACATATACACTTAGACATAGTCATTTACATTTAATAATACATATTACATAGACAACACAATACATTCCAACAAACAGTATACTATATGTATATCTAAGGGGTTTCAGTTACATGTAGTTGCCACCAAATTTGATTTATGACGGCTGAGACAGTAACAAAGTAGCCTAGCCTAGTAGTAATCAAGATAATGTAACTATAATGATTTAAAGTGGCTATTTTTACGGAACCATAATGAATTACTGGTAGGCTATTTTTACGGCACTTCCCATCACTCATGCGCACTGGGAAAATATCCGAGAATTTTACTCATGTAAAGTAAAATAGTCCAATCGTATGTGAGTGCTGTAGACAAAATCTTTGGGCTATTTTTATGGAAGTGGCATAGACAAAAATATTTGGGCTATTTCTAGGGGTAGGGTTAGCTACCAATTGTTTAATAGTTTTAATGGTCTTTTGGCCTTAAAAAAACAACTGGAAGCAAACCCTAACTAGTGTATGCCAATTGGCTGTCACAAATATGGTACATTTTTTTGCAAAAAGTAGGTCTTCCATTATTGCTTCTTGTTGGTTTCCTGCAAATGAAACCGGTTCCATTCAACCGAAAACAGTTAAGAGGTTAAGGTTGCTCCGCATGGAAATTTTGTAACACATAACAAGGTAAGAATATTTTTTTTCTTCAATTGAAAAGTTTGAAATTTTGTAACTTTTTTCATGGAAGATGCGGAGCAGAAAAAAACTTGTTAAATACCTTCATTTATTTCCATAAGTGGACGTAAAAGTCGTAAAAATTCAACTTTTCTGAGGTGACCAAAATTTTATTGGCCATACTGTAATGGCGAAAGGCATTTCAAATGTAGTCTCGATCATTTGGAGGAATATTCCCCGTACACTTTTAACCAGGAGGTACTGGTGACCGAGACTATATGACCAGGTAGTAATTAACACAGCCATTCACCCAATATTAGGGAGTAGACGTACACCACAACTTGGCTCCCAAGATGGATTATCTATAGTAAGTTAACAATGGTAAGCTATGACAGCGATATGAGAGAGAGAGATAGAGAGATATGGAAATTTTGTAACACATAACAAGGTAAGAATATTTTTTTTCTTCAATTGAAAAGTTTGAAATTTTGTAACTTTTTTCATGGAAGATGCGGAGCAGAAAAAACTTGTTAAATACCTTCATTTATTTCCATAAGTGGACGTAAAAGTCGTAAAAATTCAACTTTTCTGAGGTGACCAAAATTTTATTGGCCATACTGTAATGGCGAAAGGCATTTCAAATGTAGTCTCGATCATTTGGAGGAATATTCCCCGTACACTTTTCACCAGGAGGTACTGGTGACCGAGACTATATGACCAGGTAGTAATTAACACAGCCATTCAACCAATATTAGGGAGCAGACGTACACCACAACTTGGCTCCCAAGATGGATTATCTATAGTAAGTTAACAATGGTAAGCTATGACAGCGATATGAGAGAGAGAGAGAGAGAGATATGGAAATTTTGTAACACATAACAAGGTAAGAATATTTTTTTTCTTCAATTGAAAAGTTTGAAATTTTGTAACTTTTTTCATGGAAGATGCGAAGCAGAAAAAAACTTGTTAAATACCTTCATTTATTTCCATAAGTGGACGTAAAAGTCGTAAAAATTCAACTTTTCTGAGGTGACCAAAATTTTATTGGCCATACTGTAATGGCGAAAGGCATTTCAAATGTAGTCTCGATCATTTGGAGGAATATTCCCCGTACACTTTTCACCAGGAGGTACTGGTGACCGAGACTATATGACCAGGTAGTAATTAACACAGCCATTCACCCAATATTAGGGAGCAGACGTACACCACAACTTGGCTCCCAAGATGGATTATCTATAGTAAGTTAACAATGGTAAGCTATGACAGCGATATGAGAGAGAGAGAGAGAGAGAGAGAGAGAGAGAGATGGGGTTTAACTCCACTAGACACAAACTAGGTCATTTCGGGACTAACATATGGTTTAGTTTTATTTAAATAATTCGCTTGCGCGTAGGGGTCTTTAGCAGTGGGAGGAAACCGGAGGACCCGGAGAAAACCCACGAGGTTGGACAGCCGACCCTACTCCTTGTCACGAAACCCCGCCAGTTGACTCAATGACAGACTGTATGATACAGCGCAGTGCACATGTGCTAACCATTCGACCATCCACCTCCAATTAAATACTACCCCTTAACAACTATAAAATATTAAGTTTAAACATATAAAGTAGTAATTATTGTTTATTGTTACCAAGTAACCTCTAGTATATTAGAGGAAAGATAGTAGATCACAGGCAGTTGACCACAGGCAGGCAGCAGGACATACTGAAGGGCAGGTCTCTGATAAGTTATTTCTTAGATGCAGTTCCTTATTAAGTTACCTAGCCCTGTGGGTCAGTAATGTATATATATTCTTATTGTTTAAGTATTGTTTCAGAACATAAGATTATACCAAGAAGAAGTGAGTTATTGAATTATGTTCACTCTTACACCCCCAACTAGATTGAACATATAACCCATTGTCGAAGGTTGGACTATAAGCAGGTCCATAAACCCCGGATGATATATGGGGAGTGCCAATTGATCAACGGAATCGCACAAGCCAAGCGAGTGTTCTTCTTTGTGTCTACACCCTAGAAAAGAAAGCTGATATTTTACTGATTTTTCTTCTTTTCGAATGATGGAGAGTTGTAACAACCATGCTACATATTTACAAAAATTCTCAGGTTATGGACAAAAGGATAATATACTATGGCTTGAAAGTTATAGTGTTCTTTAAAACTGGGAAGAGGACAAATAAAGATAGGTTGCCAGGCAATGAAACATATGCCCACAGCAGCTAAATCGTCCGGGCAGTCAACAAGTGTTGGCGCATATTTTTACTTCTTTCGGTAATGAAACATTTATTATACACTCATGAAGTAATTATCAGAAAACCATTAGAATTTGTTTGGTTTTTAATATCATGGATTTAGCTGTTCAAGTCATAAAAATTCATTGAAAATCAATATACTTGTTCGTCTCAAGCTCTTAAACTCTGTGTATCAATCTGAAGTCAATTGGATGATAACTTTAGCCTCTAGAGCGTCATAAGATTTTTCAAAGTGATCAAGGGCCATAACTGTTACAGTAATTATCGAAAATCACTGAAAATGAATAGACTTCTTTGTCTCATGACCTTAAACACTGTGTATCAATTTAAAGTCAACCGGATATTGACTTTGGCCTCTAGAGCGTCCACAAGATTTTTTGAAGTGATCAAGGGCCATAACTCTGGCAGTAATTATCGAAAATCGCTGAAAATGAATAGACTTCTTTGTCTCATGACCTTAAACACTATGTATAAATTTAAAGTCAATCGGATATTAACTTTAGCCTCTAGAGCATCCACAAGATTTTTCAAAGTGATCAAGGGCCATTACTCTGGCAGTAATTATCTGAAATCGTTGAAAATCAATAGGCTTTATCGTCTCATGACCTTAAACACTGTGTATAAATTTAAAGTCAATCGGATATTAACTTTGACCTGTAGAGCGTCCACAAGATTTTTTTAAGTGATCAAGGGCCATAACTCGGGCAGTAATTATTGGAAATTGCTGAAAATCAATAGGCTTCTTCGTATCATGACTTTAAACACTGTGTATAAATTTAAAGTCAATCGGATATTAACTTTAGCCTCTAGAGCATCCACAAGATTTTTCAAAGTGATCAAGGGCCATAACTCTGGCAGTAATTATCTGAAATCATTGAAACTCTACAGGCTTCATCGTCTCATGACCTTAAACACTGTGTATAAATTTAAAGTCAATCGGATATTAACTTTGACCTGTAGAGCGTCCACTAGATTTTTTTATGTGATCAAGGGCCATAACTCGGGCAGTAATTATTGGAAATCGCTGAAAATCAATAGGCTTCCTCGCTTCATGACCTTAAACACTGTTTATAAATTTAAAGTCAATCAGATATTAACTTTGGCCTGTAGAGCGTTCACAAGATTTTTTGAAGTGATCAAGGGCCATAACTCTGGCAGTAATTATCGGAAATCGCTGAAAATCAATAGGCTTCTTCGCTTCATGACCTTAAACACTGTGTATAAATTTAAAGTCAATCGGATTTTAACTTTAGCCTCTAGAGCGTCCACAAGATTTTTTGAAGTGATCAAGGGCCATAACTCTGGCAGTAATTATCGGAAATCGCTGAAAATCAATAGGCTTCGGACCGACGGACGGACGGACGGACGGGGGCGACGACAATATACGACCACATGCCTTAGATAAACTATTAAAGACAATGCTGCTGTATAGTTAAAATGTCTGCCAGAAGAAACAAGAAGTTACTATAAAATCAGTGAAAAGTGCTTTTATAGAACAATACTGTACAGAAGTGGATGATGGTAAAGAAGTGTTTAGGCTAATTTAGTAATTACACAGAGAAAACAGAGAGAGAGAGAGAGAGAGAGAGAGAGAGAGATGGGGTTTAACGTCCACTCGACACAAACTAGGTCAATTCAGGACTAACATATGGTTTAATTTTATTTCAATAATTCGCTTGCGTATAGGGGTCTTTAGCAGTGGGAGGAAAACGGAGGACCCAGAGAAAACCCACGCGGTTGGACAGGCGACCCTACTCCTTGTCACGTACAACCGGGGATTCGAAACCCAACCAGTGGACCCAATGACAGGCCTTATGATACAGCTAAATCGTACGAGCAATCGACAAGGGGTGTTGCATATTTATTCCTTTGTAGGTAATTGGGGG